CCAAAGCATGGGGCCTGGGGTAGTCACCCCACTTGCCCCCCCCACCCCCCCTGGGCCAGGGACAGTCCTGTGCACAGGACCCTGTGGGGCAGGAGGGTCTTTGGGGGTCTTTGGTGCTGGTAGGGGTGTGGAGTGGAGTGGAGCCAAAGCAGAAGCCCCAGCCCAAGCTCTGCCACCTGGAGGAGCAGGGGTGGTGGTATGGACTGCACCACTAAAGCAGATTTGGGAGGGCAGGTCTCCCCCCTACAGTCCACATGCTGCTTGGGTTCTTGGGGGATGTTGTGGTGGGGGTTCCTCCCCTTTCCGTGATAGGAAATGTGGGTGTTTAACCTACTTTCCCCGAAGTGTGCATGGAACCCGGGGGGGGGGGGGGGGGGGGGCTTTAGGTGGTCTTTGGGAGTGTGGTGACTCCTCCCAGTGTGTCAGCTGGCCCTGAACTGGGGGTTGGGGGGGGAGGCAGGTGAATTCAGGCTGGGGCAGGGGTGTAACTGAAACTAGGGAGAGCCCCCTCTTGTCTTCTAATTACTTTGCATTAACTAGGTGCTAATGAGCAGTAGCTAGCCAGTCTACCAGGACTGCTTCATTCAGTCTACCCCATAGACTGAAAGTTCTGACTCCAAAGAGTAGAGTTTTCCCAGACATGTCCTTTTTGAGCCCTCTTATCTCTGTCTGGGCAGGGTTTTTAAGTCTGACCAAATGTCTGGCATTTTGCTTTGCTCGATTGGTGGGAGCAGGGAGAGGGCGATCGGGCAGCAGGGAGCACAGACATAACTTCCTGCAGCTGCAGAGAGGCACACAGACCTATGTGGTGTTCCCTGCTGTCTCTGATCGCCCTCCCCTTGCACCAGGGGAGCAAAGCAAAATCCCAGACATTTAGTCAGGGTAATGGGGCAGGGGCTCCAATGGTGGGGCAGGGTTGGGTTTCATAGATTCATAGATTGTAGAGTCGGAAGGGACCACAAAGGATCATCGTGTCCTGGCAGGAAAGAGGACCGAGGTCAGGTGACCCCAGCCAGATGACCTATCAAGCCTTCTCTTGAAGACCTCCAAGTTGGGTGATAGTACCACCTGTCTTGGAAGCCCATTCCAGATTCTGGTTTATTGTGAAGAATTTCTTCGTAATGTCTAGTCTGAATCTACTCATCACTAGTTTGTACCCATTATTCCTAGTTACACCTAGGGGTGCCCTGGTAAATAGTGCATTTCCAACTCTCTGTTTTCCTCCCTTGATAAACTTATAGGTTGCTACAAGGTCTCTTCTCAGATGTCTCTTATGAAGGCTGAAGAGATCCAGATCCCTCACCCTCCCCTCGTAGGGTCTTTCACAGAGGCCACTAATCATGCGAGTGGCCCTCCTCTGAACCCTCTCCACATTCTCCGTGTCCCTCTTGAAGTGTGGCGCCCAAAACTGGACACAGTACTCCAAATGTGGCCTGACCAATGATGCAGAGAGGGGGAGCATCACCTCCCTCAATCTGTTGGTCATGCATCTGCTAATGCATGACTAGGTGCAATTGGCCTTGTTGATGGCTTCATTACACTGCCGGCTCATATTCATCTTGGAGTTGGCTATGACTCCAAGATCCTTCTCAGCTGCTGGGGAGGTCATTCCCCATCCTATAGGTGTGCTGGAGGTTCCTCCTCCGTAGGTGGAATACCTTTCATAGTTGGTAGGGTCAGAAGGGACCTGAGGAGATCATCTTGTCTGACCTCCTGCTGTGGCAGGAAAGAGTACTGGGGTCAAATGACCCCGGCCAGATGTTCGTCCAGCCTTTTTATAAAGATCCCCAGGGTAGGAGCCAGCACCACTTCTTTTGGAAGTTGGTTCCAGGTCCTAGCCGCCCTGACAGTGAAATAGCGCCTCCTAATGTCTAGCCTGAAACTACCCTCTGCTAGCTTGTATCTGTTGTTTCTTGTAACTCCCGGGAGTGCTCGGTGGAACAGGGACTCTCCCAATGCCTGCTGGTCCCCCTTGACTAGTTTGTGGACTGCCACTAGATCCCCTCTCAGCCTTCTCTTTTGGAGGCTGAACAAGTTCAGATCCCTTGGCCTCTCCTCGTAGGGCCTGCCCTGCTGACCCCTGATCATGAAGGTGGCCCTCCTTTGGACCCTCTCTGTATTGGCCACATCCCTCCTGAAGTGTGGTGCCCAGAACTGGACGCAGTACTCCAGCTGCGGCCTGACCAGCATCACATAGAGGGAGAGGATCACCTCCTTGGACCTGCTTGAGATGCATCTGTGGATGCACGGCAAGGTATGGTTGGCCTTCCTGACCGTGTCCTCACTTTATCGGCCCGTGTTCATTGTGGCATCAGTGATGACTCCAAGATCCTTTTCTGTCTCGACACTGGCGGAAGGAAGTTCCCCAGCCGCTGATTCTTCCTCCCCAGGTGCATTATCCTGCACTTGTCAGTGTTGAACCCATCCTGTTCTCATCGGCCCACCCCTGTAACCTATCTAGATCCACTTGCAGCCTGTTCCTTCCTACTAGCGTGCCCACTTCACCCCACATCTTAGTGTCATCTGCGAATTTGAACAGGGTGCTTTCTACCCCCGCGCGCAAGTCACTGATGAAGATGTTGAATAGTGCAGGCCCAAGGACCGAGCCCTGGGGAACCCCACTGCCCACATCCCTTCAGGTTGAATAAGACCCGTCCACCACCACCCCCCTCATGGTGCAGCCCTCCAGCCAGTTAGTGACCCATCTGACTGTGTAGGCATCAACACCACTGTCTCCTAGTTTCTTACTGAGAATGGGGTGAGAGACCATGTTGAAGGCCTTCCTGAAGTCCAGAAAGACTATATCCACTGCGACACCTGCATCCAAGGACTTGGTGACCTGGTCATAGAAGGCCACCAGGTTGGTTTGACAAGACCTGCCCCTAATGAACCCATGCTGGGTGCCCCTGAGCATAACCTCCCCTGCTGGCCCTTCATGGACATGTGCCATTGGCTTGGCAGTGGGGGGCAACAGAATAGGCAGGTGCAGGGCACCAGCATGTCACTGTCCCCCTGCCCTGCCCCTCCCCCACATGACAGGTGTACTTTTTGTTGGACCTGGAAATATGGTAACCCTACCAAAGAGCCACCTATGGGGGCTGTCTATGGGGATCTTGAGGGCTTGCAGAGGCATGGAGCTGTGTCTTGAGCTGTGGTGCAGAGCTGGGGCTCTACTCTGCACCCCTACCAGCCTGTGAGACTGCTCCCAGCAGCCTCCATAGGTGACTCTTTATGGGGTTGATTGAATGAGGCAGTCCTGGTAGACTGGCCAGCTACTGCTCATTCACACCTAGTTAAGATAAAGTTAATGGTTCATAGTCTACCAGTGCTAGAGCACCTTGCAGCTTTTTTGAACTAGAGAAGCTTTGCCGGGAAATAATTGCTGCAGTGTCCCACCCCAGAGACAGCTGCTGTACAAGGACAGCTGTATTTCAGGACACTGTGCAATGTAAGGTACTGCCTATATATGGGTTATTCTGCTGAGTTGTTTATATCCATTGCTGGTCTATGCGCAATGGGCTACATTCTGCCTACTAGTTATACTAGCTTGAATCAGGAGTGACTCGGATGAAGCCAGCTCCAAACAGCAGCTGGGTTAAGCACAGCACATGCACCAAATGTCTCGTATTTTAAGGCAAGCTGCAGTAGACTAGAGGAGGCAGACATTTCTGGCTTAGGGCTTTTGCAGCTGCCTTGTCCCCAAACACAAGAGTACAGCCTCTGGAGTGTCCTTTAAACACACAGACACACATTTGACAGCAAAACAAGAGTGGTGTGGGCTTCCATCAGTTAGCAGCATGAGCTTGAAACCAAACCTACCCTGCTCCAGAATGAGTGATGTTTGCATGCCTCTTGTAATACAAAACAACCCTGCCTGGGAGATCCTATGTAGATAGATGTGAGCTTTCCTCAGCATTGACAATAGCCTCTTGCTTGGGCTCAGCAGAACATGAGATGACACTGCTTCAGAGATTCCTCCTCTCTGACTTTCTACAGAGAGAGGAAAAATAATGCCCAAACCAAAACTGAACAGTGTCACTCCTGTGCGTGCTGCGATGGGGAGGGGGTGTCTTACCCACGCCCTACAGTGTGCATGGGACCCTGGGGGGGGTTTGGGGGAGGTCT